CTCAGGGTACTAAGGTATGGTTTTACATTATTTATTAAATAAACCCTTTTTGATGAAAATGATATTTACTTTTTCCTATATAGTTTTTAAACTTGTTAATTTTACATAATTAATTTTAGCTGTGTAGATATTATGAATTAATTTAATATGTTATGTTTCTTGTGTTTTTGTTCCTGGATCGGCTAATTCAGATTGTTTGGTATTGAAAATACTAGTGATTTTATCTAATGTAATTTATTGCATTGTTGTACCTTTTTGTATGTTCTAAAACTTATGGATCATTTTGATTTGTCACTTGTATTTCATATCCAAAACAGATACCTAATTGGCTTTGTATATTTTATCCATTTGCCTGATTATGGTCCATGAAGTGGTCAGAGTTCTTTAATGTCATGCTCATTTGTTTAATAAAAAGTGCATATTTTCTATTGATATCTACATGCTTAATTGATTTCATGGTCTAAATTTTTGGATTTTGAGTACCATGCAACTTTTGGATTTGCATCCAGGATATGCTTTATAGCAATTGCATTTGAATGAGCTTAGATATTTTGAGTTGCTATACTTTGTGTTTCTTGCTTATAATAAGTTTAGAGGTGTCTGTTAGATGGGTAATCCTAGGTTGTAATACAATATCTTTTTTCATTATTGTCCATCACATATTTCTTATTTTTTTGATATTGAATTCAATTCAAATAGGTTATTTCTGAATTTGCTTTTATGCATTTGTGAGCTCTTCAAGTTGTTGGCATAAATTTAAGAAGTTGATAAAATTCTGTAGCCTTTAAACATCATCAAATCATATATAGTGTGTGTTTGAGAACCATTTTTCTTAAAAATGAGTTTTATAATAGTGATTTTTTCGAGGTTAAAAAGTGGGAAAAATTTTAGATTTACGTGTAAATTATTTTATTGGAAGAACGTGTGATTGAAAATGAGTTTGAAAAAAATATGTTTTTTTTTTTGAGAATGGGGGTCAAATAGGGGCATATGATAAAATTGTTGGTTATTGGAATTTATATTTAGTTATCAACAATCAAGGCATACATTGCATTCCTTATAACTGCTATTGTACAAAATAAAACCACACAATTAGGTAAGAAGGTCATTACACACATAGAATCTTCTTGTACTCTATGACACTTTCTAGTTTCCAATTCTTCAAATTTCCCTGGTTTCTACAAAGGTTTGTGCTCCTGTCTCTAGATAGGTTTAGGTTAGGACCGGGCTTGCTAGTAGATGACATGCACTCAAAGGAGAACTGCGGGGTCATGTGCGAAACTACAATGGCTAGTCCACTAATCTAGTTGTATCTGTTCTCCAAATCCTGTTACATTGTCTATGTAATCGTGCATCATATGTATACTGTATGTATTTAGTTAGATCCATCCAGGAGACCCAATGGACTATTGAAGACCAAGCTAAAAATAATTGAAGTCCGGTTTTTTTCAACTCTTGTCCAACTTGATTAAAGTTATTATTGTTGGACCAGTCTGCTACAGGCTTTATTGCATTGTTGAATCAACAAGCTTATCATAAAACTTCACAAGCCTTACTAATAATTGGTAAACTTAAGCTCTAAGCAATAGGCTTGACAGTTTAACCGTATCGAATGTCAATATCCCAAACCGGGTGTTTGATGGTCTTTTTATCACTATGTTTTCTTTTTTTTTTTCTTTCCTTGGGTTACTTAAATGATATTATCTATTTGTGATTTAATTACAAATGTTATTATTCACTAACTATTTTTGAAATATTGATACTTAAGAATAATCCAAGTAATGAATTTTTTTCGAGACATTCTTAACAAGAGGATGTATTAAGATAGGTGTCCAGATTATTTGAAACGGTTTATTGTATTAAATTAAATTCACACGATCTACCCAATTTATTTCAAATGAACAAGTGTCTTTACTCATAAGTCACAACTTTTATGATCAAGATGAGTCATAAATCATTCCTCCTATTGAGAAGTAAACGACAATATGACTTTTCAAAATCAAATTGTTTATGTGCATAATATGTAATTCATCAAATAGCCTTGGAGTCTTGTGCTATTTTCTTGTAATTATTGTATTTACACAGTAGCCAAAATCTTTAATCAATAAATCTCATTTTTCATTGACAAGAATATGTCAATGTACAATTTTTGTGCTTCGAGGTACTTATCCTTAAAAGTTTCTCGTTTTATCTATGTAGAAATCAGGAAATGAGCAAAAGTTAATTTGAAGTACTTCTTTGTTGTTCTTACTTTAGTTGATGACTTTTTGGTATAGATCTGATTATCTGAACCATAAAAAATTAGAATGTTTGAAATCTTGCATTGACCTTGTTCTTACCTCCTAACTATGGGGACGTGCTGCCATATATTACTATATTTGAGCTTGTTTGTGCTTTAAGTTTTCTTCCTGGTATAAGCAATGAGAAGATGTTAATCTGTCATCAATTTCTCATCAGATAGCATCAGAAGGACTTAAGCACCGTGTTTTCGAAGTGTCCTTGGCTGATCTTCAAGGTGACGAGGACCATTCCTACAGAAAGATTCGATTGAGAGCTGAAGACGTTCAAGGAAAGAATGTTCTCACGAACTTCTGGGTATGATTTAATTGTTCTTTTCTAGTGTTGTGTGCTTAATGAATTTTTTATGACTGCTAATTTTCCTTTGACCAATTACAGGGCATGAACTTTACAACAGATAAATTGAGGTCACTTGTGAGGAAATGGCAATCATTGATCGAGGCTCACGTCGATGTCAAGACAACAGACAACTACACCTTGAGGATGTTCTGCATTGGATTCACTAAGAAGCGTGCCAACCAGCAAAAGAGGACATGTTATGCTCAATCAAGCCAGATTCGCCAAGTAATTACCGTTTCAGAGATCGATGTTTAAATTACTATTTCACTGATAATGTAGCTGAGGATTTGATAGAATTATGCATTGAAAAAGTCTCATCATTAGTTTGATGTTGGAATTCTATGTTCTTTACTTGTTGTCATCATTATGACTTTTCCCTGTTTTGGTTTTCTTAGATTCGACGGAAGATGCGAGAGATCATGATTAACCAGGCACAATCTTGCGATCTCAAGGATCTGGTTCAGAAGTTCATACCTGAGTCAATTGGAAAAGAGATTGAGAAGGCCCCTTCAAGCATTTATAATCTGCAGAATGTTTATATTCGAAAGGTCAAGATCTTGAAAGCTACCAAATTTGACCTGGGCAAATTGATTAAAGAGATTGAGAAGGCCACTTCAAGCATTTATCCTCTGCAGAATGTGTATATTCGAAAGGTCAAGATCTTGAAAGCTCCCAAATTTGACCTTGGCAAATTGATGGAGGCAAGTTTTTTCAATTCTCTTTTGCCTTAGTCATTAGATTATATCGTAAATTTCATTGGGCAAAAACATCTAAAAGTTGTATGGAATGATCAAGTCTCATAATGTCCTTGATGATGAACTTTGTGGGATCATGTAGGTTCACGGTGATTACAGTGAAGACGTGGGAGTGAAGTTGGACCGGCCTGCTGAGGAGCCAATGGCTGAGGAAACTGAAGTGGTTGGTGCGTGATTTGGTGGATGTCCCCAACTTCTCTTCTTGTTATCTTTGTTTTCAACAAATATTTATGTTTCTTTGAAATAGACAACATGACATGTACTTTGAATTTTTGGAATGATGAGTTGAAAAGAGATTGTCTTGCATAGTACAGTAGTATTCTGAAACTGTTAATCATTTGACATTTGGGTTTGATTTTTTATTTGCACATTTTCTGAAGTTTTCAAATTTGTTTTTGACCACTGCATATAAAAAGTCCAGTTTTCCAACTTTAATGGGAAGTGCAAACCCTTAGGATGCAGAAAAATGTTGTGAATGCATTGAAATTTTCTGGGGTGTGAATCAGTGAGTCGAAGCGTGTTGCTTGGTGAATTATCCAGAATCTTTGGCGGGTGCCATCCTCAAAGGGAAGTATTTCAGTGACAAATTTTGTGGAGGCCGTTGAAAAGAACACATCTTTATACTGGTGGAAGACATTTATGGGGCAGAGAGGTAGTTCGCAAAGGTGTCGGATGGTGAGTTGGGGATGGGGAATGTGGTTGCCAAGGCCATCCACCTTTCCGCAGGTCACACCAATTATAAATTAAGAACAATTCGAGGTGTACAGCAGCCTTGTTACAGCTACTGTTACAATGGACGAGGCATCAGCGAATGATAGTTTTCCAAATTGATCGTGACAATTTTGGAAATTTCTCTAGCAGAAACTGAAACAAAGATCGTAATGTGGCATTATGACAATGAAAGGTACGTACACGGTTCTGAACGGGTATTGTCTTTTGATTTCGGAAAGCAGGAAAAGCACAGGCACAAGTTTGATGGTCTTAGCCACTGGTGGTAGAAGATGTGGAAGTTGATCCTAAGATTAGCATTTTCATATGAAAAAGTTTTTTATAATGCAATGCCTGTAGGAATTAATCTTACGTGCCGGCAAATGAGGACTGATAGTGGTTTATGCGCACAATTTTGGTCTATAGAAGAACACTAAAGCTAGACGTAGTAATGCAGTTATAGAGGAATGATACCCAATGATCATATGTCTTACTCATGTCAAGTTTGAGTGCTAAGAACCCTTCCTCCATACCCTGTCTCTGTCATGCAATGTTGTTATGCTATGTTTCTTTGTCGGTTGGAGGCTTTCACTAGAAAGTACTTTGTGTTTCAGTCTTCAGATTGTAGCACCATGTGAACAAGATGGGATATCGACCTCTCATTCTCTGATTTCCGGCATATGACGTTGGCACCCACCAGAGTTATATAAGTCAGCCAACTTCTCTTGTTTTTACTATACTCATTTTCCATTCCAAACCGACTTTAGCTCAACTCCCCAAGTGCCAATCATAAAATGCCAATCGGTTTTGAACCCCTCTAGCTTCCTTCCTAAAATTCCACTTGTTCCCATCTCCTTTCAGTTCAAACCCAAACTTCCTCATCCGGTCATCCCTCTTGTTGACCACCATTCTAAAGGGTGTTTGTCCATTGTGATCAGTATAGGACGATGTTCAAAACCCATGAATTCAAGATGGTCCATTGTAGCCCAAGGAAAAACAACCTCCCTTCCTCATCCCCAACGAACCTCTCCTGTCATTCATGACCTCTTGTTCACCACCATTCTGGAGGGCGTTTGTCCATCGCGATCAGTGTATGACAATGTTTAGAACCCATGAATTCAAGATGGCCCACTATAGCCGAAGGAACAACAGCCTCCATTCCTCATCCCCAACGAACCTATCCAATCGTTCTTGTACATTCTTTAGCTTGGAAGTTCTGCAAACACCACTCATCTGGAACCTCTATGAAGGTAGCCATTCCATTGGGTCATAGTGCACCTCTAGCTTCTCAGAATATGATAATCTCATTAAAGTCACCACTACATAAGCAAGCTCCTGACTAGTTCCCCTTTGGTCGATGAAGTACATCCCATGAGAAGTGTCCAAGTTCATGTAGGGATTACCATAAAAACCTATTGTTGACCTAGAAAAATGGTTTCGACACGTGACTAATAGAATAAGTCTTCACGTATGCTCCTCCCTGCGCAGAGTAGCACACCGATAGTCACTCGTTGCCTTTTTCGATGAGGGTGGAGGTAGCCGCGAGCACTTTTTACGGTCAAGTCAGTATTTCAGTCAATTGGGAAGTGGTGCCCGGCGGTGAAGTGGTCGTCGGGAAGTGGTCAGGAATGTGTGTAAATATAGTGAAAGTCTATTTTGAATGAAAAAGACGAGAATGCCAAGATTCGAATCCTCTCAATCTTACAAATGTGGGGGTATTTATATTAGAGAAGGGAAGGAGAGAACTGTTGGATGTGAGGACTCGTGGCTTCGGATCCCAGATGAGTCATCCTTTCATAGGCGTCAATCTGTTAATCCATAGGTTGGCGGGCATTGAATGATTTCTGACATAGCAACTGAGTTGACCGCTTGTGGCCTGCCACGTGTCTTATCAATCAGTCAATGACTTGACTTTTGAGAGATCTCATAAAAGATTTTGGTAGAGGTGTGGTGATGTGGATTGTAAGCTGTAATGAACGCGGAATGAGGGCCTTTGCATTCACCGTGAATGACAGATGAGTTCGACTCTCTTACCTCGTGGGGACAACAGCGTTTTAGTTTAGAGCCATGGAATCAGCTTGTCCGACGCGAATCCAATTCGTCTGATACGTGGTAACACCAGATCAGTTCATCGAACACGTGGCGGATGAGGTGGATGGTCGAGGTGGAAGGCCTCAGAAAGCCCGTAACAATATTCTCTTAAGTCCGTATATGGATATTTATATAATGTATAGACTTTGTAGAGACGATTTTGTAGTGTCAGCAACCACTCAAGGACTGAAGCTATAACGAGCTAATCGATAAGAACACAGAATTCATTCTAAACGAATTGATGGCCTCCCGAGGTGAGTTATGTCTTATAGGTCTCATTCAATGTTCAATGTTTCGCTTGGCTGTTCTAACACTTTTCTCTTCGCTCAGACGATTATTTCAAGAACAAAGCACTTAGGCCGGATTTCGCTACGAGGTGGTCTAGGCGATGGCCCTTAAGACCAGTTCGTCTGCCTTTAAAAAGCAGGCGGAGAAATTGAATTTGCTGAGTAAGAGCTAGCGTCCCTCTGAGGAGGACAAAGTGGAGGAAGGCGCCTCTCTCGTCAACAGGGGCTTCCTCTTCATCGACCACAGTGGCCAGGCCTCCCCCTCTCCCCATTCCAACCTGGGTGACTGTTGCAGCCCCATTCGAAACTCCAGGGTCGTTGTGCCCATCACTGCCATCTTAGCTGGAAAGCCTACCCGAAAGAGACGAAAAGGTCTGCTAACCATTCTCATCATGGCAAAGGGACTGACTTTTTGAGGAGCAATGAGGATGAGCTCTCCGAGGCAGTTTTGGAAATGCTGCCTCCGGAAATCGCCTCTGCCACCTGCTTTCACAACAAGTACTGGACCGGGGACTAACAAGATCACATTGCCTCGTGCGAGGTGGAGGACCTTCTAGCCACCAATAACGCCCGAGTGGCCAGAGCTCTAAGTATTGGCGTGGCAACAGAAGACTTAGTCAGGGACCTTCGTAAGAAAAACGTAGAATTGGTACAAAGGATCAAGGCCTCGAAAAATTGGGAGGAGGAGGTGAAGAAGGGGAGGGTTGAGACGGAGGAGTCCGAGGTGAAGAGGACTGAGGCGGAAGTGAAGTTGGACTCTGTTGAGATTCAGATAAACCAGTTGAAGAATGAACTCCACGAGTTTGTTTCTCAAGTGATAGCCCTGACTAAGAAAGTGGATCGGTCCAATGAACACCAACAGATTGAAGCAGGCCAGCAAAGAGAAGGCCGAACTTAGGATGCTCTCCGAAGCTCAAAAAGAGGAGATTGAATCTCTTAAAGCCGAAGTGAAGATAGTGAGTGAGGTGGAAGTTTAGAAATACATTGACAAAATTGACCAAATAAAGGAGTACGATATCTTCACCAACTTCTAGCTTCATGGAGTGCCAAATAGATGATGGAGGCTAGTGATAAGTGTATTTTCTACACTTATTCGGGGTTTGAAACTATAGAATTTTATTATTCTTTTAGCAAAATACAACCTAAATTGTGTTATATTGCATCTTATAGGTAAAACTCAATATTTGATGAAGAATTGGAGAAAAGAAGCAAAATGTGTCGAAAAATGGAAAAATCCAAAGTACGGGGATCAAAGTCTACACTATAGAAGTTGAAGGACTTAATTGCATTAATTCTAAAAAGGAATGACTTGGAGAAAAATAAAGTTAATGGGCTGGACCTCTTGTTGAAGGAAAAAAAGGTTGCCTATTGGTTTTATATATATGCACATGAAAACAGAAAAGGAGGGGAGCTGGGCAGAAATTGAGTCGGCGGAATAAATTGAGAAAAGAGAGCAAATAGCCGGCTAAAAAATCTATTGAAAAGTATTGGTGGCTGCCATATTCTATCATTTATTCACACATATAGTGGCGGCACAATAGTGGGCTGAATTGGGCATATAAACTTTCATTTGGCCAGCTGCTATATATTTATACACTAGGTTATACACAATTAGGCAGAAAAAAGAGAGATTTTACACACATTGGACGGCAACTGGCAGGAAGGAGAAAGAAAATCTTGGATAAAAAGACAGACACGGTCGCGGCTTCAGTGAGACATTAATTTCCGTCAACTATAGGTGAAGTCGTTCCACTTCTATGTGTTCAATCTTGATAATATGCTACGTTAAATTCTCTTGTATTGGATGGATGATGAAACTATTTGATTTTTAGTTTTTAATTCGATACCATGTGTTTTTAATTTAACACTTGCATTGTGATTTCATAAATACGTATGAATTTATTCTGTTAATGTTTGTGCACCATTATGACAATTAGTTGCTTATTCGTAGTGTTGGAAAACTCATGGTAGGTAGAACACTGTTTATGGAACACACGGACAATAAATATTAGAAATAATATTTATGGCGTGTGTGGTCATGTATGATAATCCTAAACGTCAATGCATGCTTGTCATATGAATTCGGACTAGGAATATGATCGTCCCGTGACAATCATATGTTTATTATATCTTGGGAAAGAATAGTAAATAAAAGTGGAATTATCGATCGCTACAATTGCATGAATTAAGTTAATTATCACTGGTTGAGAATTGAAACTAAGAGTTGATTAGTTGAGTCAGAAATCCAATACACTCACCCACATTTGATTTAAAACCACTTTTTATTGCTTTCGTAGTTATAGAACGTAGTTAACCAAAAATCAACTATCTTTTGTTACATTTGCGAATTTAAACATATCGAATTCTCTAAAATTGAGCCTTATTCCTTGTGGGACGATAACTCACTTATTCCAATTATTACTTGTACAACGAACTCGTACGCTTGCGAGATTTTCACATAACAAGTTTTTGACGTTGTTGCCGGGGAATAACTGTGTTAATTTTGGGTATTTGATATTTTCAATTCGCTTTAATTTTTAATTTTTAATGTTTATTTTATTTTATTTTGTTGTTTTTAGGCTATTATTACACTCATGAGTTCTCTCTGTCTTGATTTTTTTGATGAAGTTGGTATATGCAAAATCCTGACGAGCTAAATCTCTTTCCATTAGATCACGAAATCGAAAAGACATTTAGAAATCGCAGGAGAGTGCAACGTCAAGCAAGGAGATTGGCTTCAAATCAAAATCAACCACAAAATCAGGTTCAACTTCAAGGGCAAATACCAAAGCCAAATCAACAGAGAGCCATCCCGAATGAAGCTCCTATTTATAGTTGGGGTTATGTAAACCCAATTCCCGCACCAGTGCATCCTACCGTGGCATACCCTCCCTTCGGACAGCCTAACTTCC